TGGATTTGTTGGTAGTATTGTACAGCAGTTAGTATAGTTTTAATAGAAAAAAGCAAAGGATAGTTTTATTTTATTATTTCCAATAGAAAGGTATCTTTAAAAAACATTTGTATAAAAAGTGGGTGGTTATTTTTTATTTTATTAACATTTTAACGCCAATAATAATTAATAATAGGTAGCTACTTATATAATATTTTAATGACTGTTTTGTATTTTATTTGTGATATTTTCTATGTAATTTAAAATATCAATGGATATATATATATACCTATATATAAAATAAATATATATTCAACTTATATGCTTATAAAGTTACAAATAACTGTTACCAATAAAATTCAAATAATTTAAATACGAAATATTACTACTTAATATGTCTAAGCAAATACGTATTAGTTACTTACCAAAATGCCATTTAAATAATAATATAATATTATACAAATAATTGTTATTTTACTATTTGGTTTTAAAATATATTCAACACCTGTATAGGCATTCATTTATAATGCTTATATAAAAGACTATAGTTATTAAAATTATTTCAAAATAAGTTAAGAATAAGTATGTTTAAATTATTGTTCTCTATATCGAATGCTACATCCACTAATCAGTGTATATATATTTTAATAATGTACCTTAATATTTATTGTTACATTATTAAAAAAAATCTGAGAATCCCTGGTTACAATTACTAAGTTTATACATCTAACCTCGCAAAGATAGCCAAAATTGTTTAACAGAGACACATTTTCGAATATTTTAAATTTATAGTAATCGTTTGACATCATGAAGCCACAACGATGAGTTAAAATATCAAATGTAAGTACTAGTATAATTATACTATTATATCAAACATATTATATCCATGTCCCATGATACATGTAAGAAAATATTTTTATATGAGCATTCTCCAATATCCGTTTTATTGCATTAATATATACTAGTGGTAATAACTAATGGATAATGGATAAACAAAAATGTATATAAATATTATAATATAGAAGTAAAATCAGATTTGATTCAATTACATTCACTCGTTCACTTTTGTATAACAAATTATTTAAAAAAAAAAAAAAAATCGAGAGGCAATAATTAATTTACGGTCAAGTGTTCTGTACATAATATTCAAATATCTGTTTAGTCTCTATGGCAGATATTAAAATATAAAACATTTAAATGATAGCACTTGAAACGCTCAATCAAATAAATATATTTCAATATTTTGATGTTATAATATGAATTATAAGTAGATTAATTAATCAACTAGTGCAATTGAATAAATTTTCTTAACTACCTCCAATTGTTTGCTACGTGAAATTAGGATTCAATTATTAATACATATCTACACAATTTACTATAATATAAGATAATCAATTAAAATAAATTTTGGATGTAAATCTTATAAATTATAATATAAATTGATATGCATTAATTTATTTTGCATCATAAAAGACAACTAACAAATTATATTTTCTAATCATGTTTCGTGTGCTAAGTGTTAATATATATATAATATGTGTTAAGTGGTATAAATGTTTTAAAACATTTAAAAAACAAAATTTATAATTTAAAGTAATATACGATTTCTATCATTATAAAATTATTAAAGCAGTAAATTATAGTATCAATATTTTGATATGTTTTATGAGTAAATAAAATATTAATTATTAATATTAGGTAGAAACATTTATTTTTTTTAAATATAAGAAAATGTCTTGATAGAATCAAGCATTTGTAAGTTATTTTAGTACTTAATGATATTTTATGCAATTAATATGCAAATCAAAATTTTATAGACATAGATAAACATATAATTAATTAATTAATTGATTACATTAAGTAAAAAATAAATATTTAAAGAATTAGGTAGGTACGTAGTTTTATATTTTTAACCTTTTGGGTTATAAAAACTAAACATTTAGTTTTTGAAAATTATAAATAAATAGTTTTTAGTATTATTATATTTATATGATATGTAATAGTAAAAACAAATACAGCAAAAAGAAGAATCTTTACGAGTGATTGAGGTTTTTGAGCAAATAAAAATATGTCAAAACAAAATTCGAATTGAATTTAAATTTGTTAACTTTGTATTTATATTATGTTAATTTAAGGTTTAGTGATATTTATATATTTTGTATATATTTTATAAAAGATATGATTAAAAACACAATTTACGTAGTTGAATGAGTTGATATTACATATATTGTAGTAGGTAGTCATATTCATAATATAAATGTGAATCGTGGAAATATATTTTTGTATGAATATGTATACCTATATAAAATAGGGCTGATATTTCTTGCATATCTCAAGGTATTCATAAATATAGACTTATATTACTTATAGATATATAAGCATAATATACTAAAATTTCAATATCAAGTATTGACTTTTAAAAAATATAAATCAAATTGTCAATCACTTAAAAAGTTTATTTTCTGGAAAGCAGTTCATAATTTAATTTGACATAAAAGTTCACTTTTATGATTTTATTAAATTACTTCAATTTCGTTTATTCAATAAAAATTTTCTTGAAACCATTTGCAATATGTTATTCAATTCGTCAATTATTACACACACATGGACACATTTAACATTATACAGAAAATGGCTGTTACATATTGTGTTTTAAATTAATATATATTTATTTGAAAATATCATACATTATACTAAAATAAGTTAAAAATTATTCCTCTGACATATTATAATAATATTATTACTATTATTTTGTTATAAAAATATATATAATCTAATTTAACCTATTCTTTCATAAATTGGTTATTCTTTATTCAATGTTTTATTAATATTTACTATATTTGCATATAATAACAATGTAATAATTACTTTAATTTAACATTATGAGATAAAAAAACATTTACTAATCTGTTGAATTTTTAATTTTAGATAACGAATAGAACAATTAAAACGTATTCATAATTTTTACATTTAATGATAAAGCGTTATTAATTAATATTAATAATATAATACAACATATATAATATATATATATATATTTATTTATTTTATTATAATTATTAAATAATAAATAAATGCAATATTTTTGGAAAAATTAAATCAAATACTGTAATATTAATACTAAAATAAGTAATTTTAATAGCTACCTATATCAAAAAACATATTATGAAATATACTTAATGATATAAGCTAATTGAAATGAAAAAAAAATCGGTTTCCGCTCAAAATAGTAATTTTTTTTGTATACAATGATACTATAAAAATATAATATTTACGTATACTATTTTTATATACTATAAAAATCATCCAATACAGTGACTCACCGACACCTAATATACTCATACAGCAAAGCGGTACCCACTAGCCCATTTTTACATTCTAATCACATACTAAAATATTGCCTTTTATTATATCTCTATAACAGAGAGGTAATCAAATACAAAAATATTAAGAATAATACTTTATTAATTACTACATATTTTAATTTTATCATCAACTCTATAATATATATATTCATATATAAATGACGTACGTATACTGCTTGGACTGCATTCGAGAATTCGGTAAAAAAAATCCCATATAATGGACATAATAGAAATTAAATTGTACTTAACGTATGAAGCGTATTAAGCCCATATTTTTTACAAGGAATACATTGGTTTAAATAATTGCTTGTTTTTTTTTTTAATTAATGGCTGATATGGTTAAAGAGTAAATCACCTGCATAGCGCTTCGCCACCTTACGCAACGCACATGCTTACTCGGCGACCGAATTTAACAGTTTATTACATTATTATTATTATTATTATTCACACATCATCTGCGTAATTTCCCCGCTAAAACTACTAAATTGCCTTTTTACCGAGAAAACAATTGACGAAAAAAAAAAACCCAAGATAACGTCGTCAGCTGTAGGATTTTCAGAAACTGTGTGGTTATATGTAATTGTAAAAACGCATTGACGCTTCAAACAGAAAAATGGTAAATTTGTTATATTACCTACTAATATAAATGTAACGAAATTAACAATATGATGATAGATAGGTGAATGTGTTTTCTATTGTTCACAATCACAGGAGTACACGATATTAAATCTATATAATTGCAGTGTCAAAATAAAAAGATTGAATGGAATCGAACGTTTTGAGAAAGAATATTATTAAACTTTGAAAATAAGTAATCATTTTTAAAATAAATATACGCGTATATCGTAGACTGTATCAAGTTCGATGTATAAACTTAGCACGAAGGTTATATACTATAATATTACACGGAGTATACATAAACACGAATGTTCCATCATGGCAATGTTTGCGTAATTATAATTTTTCGATTAAATATTTTTGATCAATCGAATTAAATTTATCATCGTTAACTTGACCGACATTTATATATATCACATGGATATCTCTCTACTATATTATTATATAAAATACTTGATTTATATTATTATATAAAATACACGATTAATGCTGGTTGTGTTTCGACATTTATCGAAAACCATAATTATATATTATTATAAATTACAAACATAGTAAGTAATATAATATGAATAATATAACTACAACTATTATTAGGAATACTTATCAATTATCATCTTTGTCAATTTAATATGCTTACAATAGGATATGGCCATTTTATAACTTAAGTCTTTAAACTTTTAAGTACCTATCTAAATAACAATAAATTATAAAATATTAAAAATGATGAAAAATGAAACCAAAAGAACGTAGTAGAAAAATATAAAAATTATACATTATACCAAATATTATATTGTATGCTATAAAAATTAAAGTACAGTAACTGTAGTGTAAAATTTGGTTGAGTTAGGCTAGATGCTTAGATGTAATAAATATTTTCACGAAATCCGATATCGGTGAAGAACAAAATGTTCAAGTGTTTTTAGGTATTAATAAATAATTATATCTAATACATTTTGATTGAAATGTGGTTGAAAAAAAATATAATTACATCACAACGTTAAACATATCATAGAATAAATATTTATATTTTGTACTCACAGTAATAATTTAGTCTTGTAAAGTTATACGTATGGTATTATACGGTACTGGCACACTAAAACATCTAACGGCTTTTCGAAAAGTTCGTAATAATGTTTTTCTTGCGCTGTACAATCGTGTCGCTTTCGAGAGTGTTCCTTTTGTCGTACGATCAAACCTATGTTTCATATAAGCTCAATCGACGGATAGGAAAATAAACGTAAAACGTATAAAAAATTAAATCTAATAATTGAAAAAAGTAAATAATAACTTTATACGTATCGCAAAGCTGTATTAAATTATTTCGTCGGCCGGCACTCGATCTCGGAAACCGTTTGAACGCGTGAAATCGTTAGTTTTTTTATTTGTTTTGACGGGTACTTCGAAATTCGGCCGCCAAAATTTCGATAAAATACCGAAAGATAAGCCGACAACGAAACGCGAAAACAACTGTTGTAATCGACGACCACGACAAAAACAATAACAACGACGAAAAGTAGTAATGATATAATAACAACAACGAAAAATATTAAATAATAACAGGGAGATATTTTTATATATTATATACTATTAAAATAATAATATATTATTATACAATATCTGCTTGTATTTTTATTTTTTATAATAATATTATTATCACACAGGTATAATATTATTATTATTTTTGCTATTATCACACAGGTATTACACTCGCCAAGAGCGGTAAAATACGCGCGCGGCGACCAGACGACGACGACGACGGTTGTACGACAACGACGACGATGGTGACACGGCCAAGAGCAAGTCGGCGCACGGCGCGCGCAGTGACGACGACGACGTGACGGCAATGTGTTCGGTCAGCCGATTGAGAGGGAAAAAAATAGAAAAAGAAAAAATATTACGCCACCGCCGCTGCGGCCGACTGCGAAAACCACCCCCCCAAAATCCAATCGCGTCTCGTTCGGACGGTAGTGGCAGCAGCAACCTACCTTGGAACGCGTATAATAATAATAGTTTAATATTATTTTTATAAAATTATAATATCATATCTCTATCTAACTATTATTATTATTATTATTGTATTACAATATATCTCTATTACGCATGCGCACGCACATGCGAGATACGTAATTTTTTATTATTATATTATAATTATTATGTGTATAGTGTACGAGTGCTGGAGTTTAACGAGAGTAATATAATATGTAAACAAATTATATTGTAATGCGATGACCGATGACGGCGGAGATTAAACTGAAATCGTGTTTTATTGTTTATTATTATTAATGTACTATAATGTATTATTTGCCATACATACTTAATACATATTTATACACATGTGTATAGGTCTACTAAATATTTATATTAGTATTATTTTTAGCGATTAACACGAGTCTTAGGTGTCTCTATTTACATTTTGTAGATGATTTTTCTTTTAACAGCACAAATGGGTTTTTTATTATATTAGGTGTTTTGATTTTTTTTTTTTTTTACGACGAAAAAAATGCATACAATTCAGGTATGTATTAAGTGTAAGACGGAGATTCTCAACATTTTTATATTTGTGTACCGTCTACACAGTTTGAGGATGTTGACGTATCACTACTGTAACCTATTACATTTTTTCTTCTCTTTAATTATCCTAAAACCAAATAATATTTATTTAAAAAAAAAAAATGTATAATTAAAATAATAAATTTATTTTATTTTAAAAATATATTTATTTAATCAATGATTCATTTCAATTTTGTTCATAAAAGGAGATTTTCTCCGTGTGCCACCCAATAAGCTTTCCATATAGCACAAGCTAAGAAACGTTAGTCTAAGACATTCAGTAAAATTTATCAATAGTATTAACTTGTATGCTCTACCGGAGAATTTAATTGAATAATACCTATAATCAATATAAATTACAATCAATCTATTCATTGCTAAAACCATCAAATATTTACTCACTAGATATAGAATTATATAGGTGTGTGTAGGTGATCGTTTAAAAACGATGTATTTTATTAATAGTTTCGAGTAAGAGGAAATATTTTATATTTTTTTTATATAAAAGGAGAAAAATTGTTGTAAAATTTAATTTTGATTTTAAAAATTTGACGTTTACAAGTTATACGTAGACGCGACTATAATACTACATTATCATTGATGTATCCACAATACCTGTGTGCTTATACTTTATTATATTATAAAATAATTATAATTATTTATTAAGATTATTTTCCTAGTTTTATTGAAATATCTATCAGTTATTTTTAGATACTATAGTGATGTACATATTATGTGCCCTAAAAGTTCCGAATCAATACATTTTGTCTATGTGAGTATAAGTGACTGTTGAATGTTTCTCTCCTGGTCCTTAATTTTGAATATATGGCAGTGTATATACTTCGCTGCCGGTTCATGCGCAATTACCTACGCAAACAAACAGGAGTGATTCTTGTTACTTTAATTTAATATAAAGTAAAGTAATATTAAGTAAAGTTCCTTAACTTAACTTAAAATTAAAAAAAAAAATTATTATTTGAGCGCTATTGTAGACAATTACAGTAAGAATTAACTGCTATAGTTCATTGTTTACCAAACGAGAAGGCGTTAATAATTTCCAGGAGCGGGAGAGCGTATTATATTTAACTTAATTAAAAATAATTATGAAATAAAATCAAAGGGGTAATATACAATTTTGCACCCGAATTAAAATGTTTTAAATGCAAGAAAAGAGTGAGTTTTGAAAAATTTATAAAAAGTATTTTTAGAATAAAAATGGTTGTGGACCTCAGCTATAGTTCAACGCTATACGTATATTATACTATATACTTACATATAATATATACTATATGTATTATATGTGTATATATATATATATATATATTATTTTTTTTGGCTTAACTGGTAAATGATGACTGTAGAAATGCTAGACCGAGGTCATTACCTTTCCGAGACTATATTGATGTATAGACTATTGGTATGCTGAAAACAATTATCTGAACAGGTTCTCGCAAAACAATACTAGTTTCTAGAAATAAACTATAAGAAAGTAAAGTATTAATATAATTCTGAAATGATACAAATTATAATATAATTATTTATAACAATAGGACTCGGATTTTTACGTATATTATTTTACTGGTCAATTATACACTGAATAAGCATATACAATATGTATGATTAAAAATACGAATTATTTTAGAGCATATCTCAATATTTAACAGTTTTTAGATCAAATCTTACGATTTTAAGGTTATATTTCGTTTTTTTTTTTTTTTTTAGGCATATTATTGCAATATTTTGTAATTAATTTTAAAACTTTACATACAACGACGTAAAGTTAATATAAAAATGTTAATAAACTGTAGTCAATTTTTGTAAAAGCAAAAATAGAAAAATCAAAGTCTATCATCTATATACAACTGGAAATCAATAGTTGATTTTAAGTGTTGGTGACAATGTTATCCACAATGTATGTTAGCTTGGTATGAAATACCAAAGTAGAAGCTTAGTATTGATTTCACATTAAGCGATAGTTAAAATAATACTCGTAATTATTCATCGATGTAGTAAAACTCGTAATGATTAATGGTTAATACAACACCAGTTAATTTTAAAATAAGCTTAGCACTATTTTTATCTAAACAAATAGGCAATAGCAATATAATTGATGTTGTTAAATTAAAATGTTGTTGTTGAAAAAAATATTTAAAAAAATTGAAGGAGTATACAATCAACTTAACCAAATTATTATTTTACATATGTTTTATTTTGTTTTTTGCTTTTACTTTCTTTGGAAGTACTCCCAGACTCTAAATCGTAATTTTTAATGTTTACATAATTATTCTATACTTTTTATATGATAATCCATTGTATCAGTATTTGTTTAATATATGTACTTCAAAATTTAAGTATAAAGAAAAATAAATCATAATAGTTATTTAAAAATAAAAAATAAATACTTGATTTCTTTAAAAGATTTTTTAAAGTAGTATAGAATGAGAATTAGTTGGTTGGATAATATTAGTTAATAATATATATATATATATATTATGAATATAATATAGTATATAAATATGTATAAGGTTATTATAATATATTGTATATTTTTAGTCGTTATGGTCAGATCCACTAGCAATAAATTGGTATAATATTCACGAGTACGTGTGTATACAGTACAGTGTACAGTGTACAGCCATATATAATAGGTACATAATATAAATATATGATATTGTCACTATATTATTATAATATTATGCTTAGGTACTGTATAATAGAGACATGGTTAGTACATGTATAAATTAGCTAAATGTGTTTACTGTACGCAGCGCAAACCAATTTAATAAAATAATATATTATATTCAATATTCAATATTCATATTATACAGGATAATTCATCAAGCTACATTCTTACTTAAACAATGTATTTAATCAAATTTTGATTTTTAAGAATTTTAAGTATACTAAGGTACGAGTACCTATCATATTTTAAAACATTTCAATGACCATTTAACCATAAACATTATCATTTAAGTAGGAATACCCTACGCAAAGTATTACAAAACTTCTTTTTTCAATTAAAGATCATTCTATTTTTTTAAGATTTTTTTTTTTTTTTTGTTCATGCTGATACACCTAAATTGATATTGAAACGAGTTAAATTATGTATAAATATATTTTCTCTGAATATCTTGTAAACGAATTAGAAAACTAGAAAAGTATTATGGAAAATTAAATTTTAGGATTGTAGGAGCTGTTTGAATTCATTTAAAAAAAAATGTGCTATCTAAAATGTTTATCAATTAGAAAAATAATACATGACTCCATAGATGTTTAAAGATTATTATATGATCATTAAATCAATCCCTCCACCTTTGAAAAATTAATGTAAATAGTATAAATACTTAACAAATTAATTGCAAATAATTAAAAATCACGTGCAAAGCCGTAAATTAATTTGTTAATTTCTGGTAGGAAAGAGGGCAACTTCATCCGGCTCTCACCATTACTTTTTCTGATCTGCACCAAACTGACGTCAATATTTAGCAAATAAGTGTAAACCATTTTTTTAGACTTTGCACATCAAGTAAAAAAAAAATTGGTAAAAATTTAAATTTTTATTTACAATTTCCAAACTTGATTTGCAAATTCTTTATCAAAGATTCGCATAAAAGTTATACATGAATTGTCTAAAGCAGAAGGTCCAAATTTTTTATGGTACGACCCATTTTGGAAAATATTTAAATTTTAGTGACCCACATTGATCCTTTTTTATTTGCTATTTCTTGGATCAGAATTTGAACATCAACGAAAAATAATAAAAACACAGATTAATTATAAAAACACACGTATTATTTAAAAATACAATGCGGTCCACTAAGAGCATGATCACGACCCACAATTTAGGAACCTCTGATCTGTAACATTTAAATACATTGAAAATATGTGTCAATTTTTTTTTAATCATAAAGTGTTATTCTTTGAATAGAAATTAAACCTATAAAACGAATCAAAAATATCTTTAAAGTTAATGATTATAATAGATGTTTTAAATTGATCATTA